TGATTAAAAGTTCCTTTTGAAATAATCCGTTTCAAGAGTCTTTACTTTCTCAAGTTAGGAGAGGAGACATTACACTAATCTTGGGTCATTTCCAAATCAGAATCAAATCATGGCTTGAATGGGGCTGGGGTTATGGTTTAAAGAGTGGGCTTTTCAGATGTCAGAATAGACCCATGCTTTATACTAAGCCACCATTATGGATTATTTAGATTTGGCCTTGGGCATGGCATTCAATTAAGCGAGGACAACTGCATTATATTGCTGAATATTGTGTGAAATGGGACACCGTGATGTGCTCAACAAACTGTTATTTAAACTGGGGTAGCCAACATTTTGGTTGCTAAAGGCAATACTTAGCATTTTTCAGGATGGAGGTCTGCAAAGTAGCCATATCACATAAGCAAGAAGGGATAGGGGGGAAGAGTGGAAATGGAAGAATACAGAACCTCCAGTTATGGAACACACACAACTTCTAAAGGCAAGTTGTTCCATTGGTTAATTCTGATTGCCAGGAAATTTATCCTTGGTTCTAGGTTGGAACTCCCCTTTGATAGTCTTCCATCTGTTACAGAAGAAGATGGAGCTACAATATATTCTCTATAAAATAATCCCAGTTGATAGGAGTGGTGCGGCATATCTCCATCTAGAGGTGGAGCTCTCGCCTCACAATCAGAAGGCTGTGAGTTCGATCCTAGGTAGAGACAGATATTTCTCTCTCTGGGCACGATGAGAATATATCTGCTGAATATAACTCCGCATTGGCAACAGGAAGGGCATCTGGCCAGTAAACACACTGCTAGCTTCATTCAGTTGCCCACATTTCAACCCCCAAGGGATTATGGGGTCGTTAAACGATGACGATAATAATCCCTGTTGATGGCTTTGTAGAAAAGAGGTTCCTGGCCATTTCAATATCAATACATTGTACTCTATTGTAGTACAACAAGTATGTTATTCCTGAATCAGCTTTTATGCCACCTTCCAAGCAGTTCTCGCGCCTGTTAGGCTTATTCAAAAGGGCTCTAATGAACACATTTCCAATACAGGGTAATCTTACCTAATTAAGGCAATGTCATCAATAAGTCCACCTCTTCCATTGTAGACACTGGTTGCTTTTATTCCAAGCTTATTGCTTGCGACAGAAAGCAAATCAGACAGTGTTCCATAAACAGCCACAACCTACGAGAGAAAGTTAAGTCTTTTAATTCAGGACACACAGTTAGCTGCTCCAGATTTTTCATCCAGTTATATTTTATACTAGTATGCAAATCCATGCGCTGTGCAGCGCTCTTGATCTCCTTCAGAGTCAGCCGGAGATAAATTGCACAACCTCCTCCCCCCCCCCCCCGAAGAAGTAGATCAGCCTTAGAAAATCTGTGCTTCTTTCTCATTCCCAGTTTCCACAATGTCGATTGCAACAAGGAAATAGTTTCATCTACACTTCAGATCTGCTATGTTTAAGGCATTTTAGAGAACAGTCATGATACCAATTCCTTTTCCATTAAATGAAGTCCATTTCTAGATTCCTATTGGATCCAAACAGCGTCACGGCATTATCCTGCAGAATTAAGGGGCCGAGTTTGTGCCACCACAATGTGGTTTATTTATTTCAGTTTTCAGTAATAAGCCACAATTGGTTGGGTTTGTGTAAACTATCCTAGTCCTTGTTTAGTGTCTGCAATTGGAACTGGCAATTTGGTTGGCAAAGCAGTAACAAAGTGAAATGCAACTCTGCTTATGATCTTATTTCAGCTTTCCCAGATCTGCCCAGGTGGTAAATGCAAGGATTGCTCATAAAGTTACTTTTTCATCACTAATATAACTTCAAACGGTCACTAAATGGGGCAGTCACTAAATGAGGCAGTCACTAAACAAGGACTGCCTGTATTTCAATGTGGTTTGTTTGGTTTTGACACAGCATCAGCTGCAAACTGAGTAATTTATCTTTTTTATGTAAATGTGCATAGAGCTATACCTTAAAAACAGAATCTCAGCGACGGTGGCAATGTAACTCTGTGTGTGTCTGTGTGTGCATGTGTACATACATACATATGATTGTAGCAATGGTAGGATTCAAAATATTTTACTACTGGTTCTTTGGGCATGGCTTGGTGGATGTGGCAAGGGAAGGATACTGCAAAATCCCCATTTCCACCTGATTAGCTGGGACTCGGGAGGCAGAGAATAGATGGGGGCGAGGCCAGCCAGAGGTGGCATTTACCGGTTTTCTGAACTACTCAAAATTTCTGCTACCGGTTCTCCAGAACTGGTCAGAACCTGCTGAATACCACCTCTGGGTTGTACATATTGACCATAAAAAGTAGACTATTGTACATTTTAAATACATTGTGCAGCTGATAAAGGTAACCAGTGGAAGTATTTCCAAATTGGGAACATTCGTCCGAGTTACAACTGATGTCAGAACAATCCCATTATTAATTGAAGGAAGCTGGGTCAACCAAGCAATCAGAAGGTAAAATGATTTCAAAACTGTTAATAGGCCACATCAATATTAGATGGTGATAGATTTAATCATCTCATGTAGAATTATCCAGCTTTTTCACTGGAGATAATTTTCTCTCTCTTTTTTTTCTTAAACGTTTATGTCTTTCAATATTTATGTTTATAACTTCAGTGTCTGCTGGAATGCAACAAAGTCTACGGCGGCAGATGGAGGAGAGCTCCTGTTTTATTTTGTGTCTCTCTCAACCACAGATGGGAAACCACATCCTGCGCTTGTCATTTGTTTTCCATTCCCAACAAGGTAAAGCACAGATTCGTATGTCAAAGGCCATCATTTTAAAACGCCAGTCACTTCATAAACCCAGAGCAACGGGGTTCCACAGGTGCTGGCTGATCTGATGCACGAATTTTTTTTAAAAAAATAATAATAATATCCCCAGTCATCCGCTGTTTATAATCCAGAGTTTCCATACCTGTTCCCAATCACAGCCCTGCCACCTGTTGTTAAGAGTGAGCAGAAACAGCAGTAAGAAAAACTTTTGATCGGTCAAAACGTCATCCCACCATTTCCTAGCCAGCCCTCCAGAGTCCACACTCCATCAAAATGAGCAAACGTCAACCAAGAAGAATATCTGGGAAATTTCAAGTGGCAAAGTTCTCCAGAAGTTCCTTGTCTGTCCTAAAAATCGATCAGGGCTCGGGCTGTGCATTATCTCAATGACAAACAGGACGCTGTTTCTCTTTAGCTGGTGTAAAGCATATCTGAATTGAAATATTTCTTGAGGAAAGCTACAAATAACCTAACCCCTCACTCCCAAAGCTTATTTTTTAAATATATATATATATATATTATGGAATGAAGCTTACTGCTATTTTTTTTTAAATGATGGAAGTCTTGTATTTTAAGACATTACAATTTAATATATTTTCACACAACTACCTAATTCACATGAGACACTAAACATGTGATTGGTCACCACACTATAAAAAAAGATGTTGAGACTCTATAAAAAGTGCAGAGAAGAGCAACCAAGATGATTAGGGGACTGGAGACTAAAACATATGAAGAACAGTTGCAGGAACTGGGCATGGCTAGTCTAGTGAAGAGAAGGACCAGGGGAGACATGATAGCAGTCTTCCAATATTTGAGGAGCTGACACAGAGAGGAGGGGGTCAAGCTATTTTCCAAGGCACCCAAAGGCCAGACATTGAATAATGGATGGAAACTGATAATGGAGAGATTCAACCTAGAAATAAGAAGAATTTTCTGCCAGTGAGAACAATCAACAATGGAACAGAAGCTGCCATAAGAAGTTGTGGGAGCTTCATCACTGGAGGCTTTCAAGAAGATATGGGACTGCCAATTGTCAGAAATGGTGTAGGGTGTCCTGCTTCGGGGGGGGGAGGGGTTGGACTAAATTATGTATAAGGTCCTTTCCAACTCTGTTAATCTGTTAATTTATTACATTGTGAATCATAAGAGAGTGAGTGGGGGGAATGAAATTTAGATAATGGACAGCTGTTTCCAAATAATTAGTCCTTAATGCACAACATCAGAAAAAAAATGTGTGGGAAAGAATCCTGTAACAACAAAGCATTGGAAATAACAAAGACAAATGCTGTTTTGCGTTTAGATCTTAACCCTCCATACAATATTGGTTTTCTTATTCCTGCTTGTTGAGTTATTATTAGATTATGACAACAAAGAAGTAAATCTTATGGGGTACTTATATTCCAGTAACAACTCAAGAGTTCCTAGGACAGATTCTTGTACACCAGGAGTCGACAATCTGCGGCTCTGGAGCTGCATGTGGCTCTTTCCTCCTTTTGCTGCGGCTCCCTGTCGCTAGTCGGCTCCACAATTGATAGGGCTTTCGGTTAGGACAGGTAGAGGAAAAAGGATGCCATGCTAGGAGGAAACTCTATGGTGGGGGAACTGGACTTCCGGTTGGCTGCAGAATTGAATAGGGGGCTTCCAGTTAGGACCTTTGTGGCTCTTTGAGTGTTTAAGGTTGCTGACCCCTGTTGTATATTGTACTGACCTGTAATAGGGTTTGTTTGGTTACACACTGGCATATTATCTCAATCATTATGATTTGTTAATCAGGGAGTTATGATTTAGCATTTTGGGGAAATCCAACCATGTATTGCCCAATAAGCTGAAGCCCGAAGAATACCAGTATTCGGCACGGTAAGAATGAAAAGCTTAGGGATTAAGATGACAACAATTTGTTGGGACTGAAGGCAAATGGGTGTGTCCCAGGATTCATATTGCAGAATCCAATCTAGTTTGGTCACCAAGACCAGAGGTTTAGTTTTCTGTGCTTTCAGACTTGCTGAAGCCCATATTCAGGGAATTTCTCACTAACAGAGTGTGTGATGTTCTGTGTGTGATATTTGTATGGTGCCTGGCCTGGGGTTGTGTGGCTTTTTAGCTGATGACGGGGTATTGATGGCTGACTTTTAAACTGGTGGCTGTTATTTCCTTGGGTACAAGGAAACAATAGCCAACAAACAACAGCAAAACCAACAACTAAAAAAAACCCCACACAACCAGGCATTATATAATTACCACACAAAGAATAGCCCAAAACACACACTTTGCTAGAGAGAAATTTCCTGAGGATGGGCTCCAGCATTGAAAGCTCAGAAGACTAAACCTCTGGTCCCAGTGACCGACTCAAATCAGATCCTACAAATCCTGAACCAGCCACAGCATTAATACATAACACCAACCATAGAATTGTAAAAGGAAGATACTGCAGGCAAGCAAACAGTTGATTGAATAAATTTGCCAGACTAATTCAAGTATGACTAAAGATCATAACTCAGTTCACACATCCTGCTAAGCCAAAATCTAACCACAACATCTTGTGATGTGAGAACCCAACCATACTCTCAAGGAATCTGGTAAGAGAGTTTGCTGATAGAATAAAGCTACAACATATTCCATGTATGCCCAAGCTATACATTGGTAAATGAATAGAACTATTGCAAAATGATGTAGCTATTTTGGAAAAAGAAAAAAAATCTATCTTGGTATATGCTAGACTTTTGGAATTTTTTTCTGCACTGGGAAGATGGAGCAAAGCATCACAATATTGTTTGAATACGGAACTGCCTTTTTCTCCTTAAAAACAGTGTGCGGGGGAAGAAAAACTATTTTGGGAGGAAGCCTAGCTCCATTTTATCAAAATAAACCTACACAGGTTATTTGTACAGCTGGGTGCTGACACAGACCTTTTAAAGGCTAAATCCTGAGAAAACAGCATGTCTCCAAACAGATTTATAAGTGTACGGCATTCATTAATTTATGCCTGTTCCTTGGTCCAGGAAAAAGTGATGCAAAGCTTGCATTTTCATTAGTGTGAAAAGGACTTTTTACTGGCACACAACCAGCCAAGTCACTGGCTAATTTCGCACATAGTTCTAAGACATAATAGGTTAATCTGGAATTTGTTGTTAGGAAATTGTCCTAAATAAATGAACCTTAGACCAATTTGTCCCTCATCCTACTGCAATTTCTCCTGCTCCCTTCTCCTAAACCATGACCCTGTATTAATTAAACCTGTGATAATTCAATGCAGTCTTTATAACCCTGTACTGTATATTTAATCCAGCAGCGTTTAGGGAATGAGGGTAGGCAAACAAGGGAAGGAAAAAAAGCCAGCTGCATGAGGGCTCAACTCTGGCTAAGGGTTCAAAATATTCCTAACTAGGAAAACTAAAAGATGTAGTGGCTGTATCTGCACAATACATTACGCTTAAGCTAGGATTTCTGTGGCTCTGTGATTTGCATGCACCAGTCCATTTAATTTATGCATTGTGAAAATGCAGAAAAAAATCATTGACAGGTTAAGAGTGTTGTGCAAACTTTATTCCTTTTTCAATAATTGGTATTAAATTACTGAGTACCCACTAGATAGAAGGGCAAAATTTAAATTAAATTGTTAACAATCAGCACCTTTGGGGGAAGAAAGAAGTTTTAATCAAAAAGTTGACACTATTGTACATCACAGTTCTGATGATTTGCATTTTTATCAAAGCGATCATTTATTGTGTGGATTTCATGTAACATGATGTTCTATAGCACTCTGCATCAAAAATGCTTTAAATACTTATTTCTAATCTGAAGGTCATCGCTGGGTGAAATACAATGCAATCACCAGAAAAGGAATAGGATAAGTACTCATTACTTTATTGTGGGCTAAACATCAAATTGCAATGAAACCTACTAAGAAGACTGTACATAGCTGGTCTGAAAAGGTAAGGACAGGAATTAGAAGGCTTTTCTTTCCTTTCGGTGCGCTTTCAGATTTTTGCAGGTCAGATACGCTAGCCAATATACAGCCAATGCCTCTATTTTCACATTCTGTCAAACAACACAGATCTGTCAAACAACACATTTCATCACTCTTCATAGGAGTGAAACCAGGAATGGGAGTGCCAAATCCTGCCAAATTAGGTGGTTGCCCTTATCTGATTATTCCCAAATTCCAAACAGGATGAGAGCTGGTAAAATCTTTTTGGGGTGGGGGGAATAGGAGACCACAAGGACATCCTAAGGATGTAGCCAAGATCAAAAAGTTTAAAAAACAAAGGCAGTCACCTCCACCTCCCCCCCCAAAAAACCCTACGTAGATTTCTCTTCTGCAAAGAGAGACTTCCTCGTCCCTTTTCTGGGAAGGTGGCCAGCTCAGAGAAGGGTGGGGTGAAATTCCAGGCAACCCTGGAGGAAGTAGCTCAAAAATTCTGGGGGAGAAGAATTCCATAGAAAGCTAAAAGTAAACATTGGTGGGTTGCAATCCTTTTTATATCAGTTTGAATGCTGGAAAGGACTATTCCAAGAGTGTCCACACCCTTGGCAACTTTAAGATTGGGTAAAGGTTCCCCTTGCACGTATGTGTTAGTCGTTCCCCACTCTAGGGGGCGGTGCTCATCTCCGTTTCAAAGCCAAAGAGCCAGCGCTGTCTGAAGACGTCTCCGTGGTCATGTGGCTGGCATGAGTCAATGCCAAAGGCGCACGGAACGCTGTTACCTTCCCACCAAAGGTGGTTCCTATTTTTCTACTTGCATTTTTACATGCTTTCGAACTGCTAGATTGGCAGAAACTGGGACAAGTAGGGAGCTCACTCGTTACGCAGCCCTAGGGATTCGAACTGCCAACCTTTCTGA